GTTTGTTTTAAGGAAATAGAGATGACATAAAACATACATCGTTATATGTAGGACTGCTCATCACAATGTTATTTATCATAATGAAGAACTGGAAATAGTCCATATTCTTTTTTTTTTTTTTTTTCATCTTTTTGAGACAGGGTCTCCATGTAGCCCTAGCTGGCCTAGAACTCACTATGTAGACCAGGCTGGCCTTGAACTCACAAAGATCCACCTCTGCCTCCTGCGTGCTGGGATTAAAGGCATGCACCATCATGCCCAGCAATAGTCTTCTTAACCACACAAAAGGATGAAATAAATCATGGTACAGTCATATGTTGGATACTTAGAAATAGTTGTATTATTATAATGTGGAAACAAGTTATGAACATTGGAATTTGTAGATGTGTGCATGCATTCCCAAATTGTAGAGATAAAACCCCAAGATACCTATGTATGGAAGTGATAATAGACGTACATACATGATGACACATGGATGATTTTTTTCCTGTGTATGTGAATGTGTGTCCATAGGGATACATGCACATGTGCGCACATGTGTATGGAGGCCAGAGGATGACCTTGGGTATGGCTCCACTTTGTTTCTTGAGCAGGGACTTTTATTGGCCTGGGGCCTTCTGATTTGGTTAAGTCAGCTAACTGACAGATGAACCCCTGGGGATCCTCCTGTCTCCACCTCCCTAGCACTGAGATTACAAGTGTTTGCCACCATTTTGGCTTTTTTATGTGAGTGCTGGGGATTGAGCTCAGATCCTCATGCCTACATGGCAAGCACTTTACTGACTGATTGGGCTGTCTCCTCAGCAGCCCCTTGTGTGTGTGTGTGTGTGTGTGTGTGTGTGTGTGTGTGTGTGTGTATGTGTGTGTGTGTGTTATATGTACAGGCATGCATGTCCATACAGGCATGTGGCCCATGCATATGCACAGAGGTCAGAGGAGGATGTTGGATGTTCTGCTCCCCACTTACTCCCTAGAGACAGGGAGTGAACCTGGAGCTAGGCTGGAGGCTCATAAGTTCTGGTGGTCCTCATGTCTCTGCCCTGCACAGTGCTGGGGTTACAGACACGCATGCAGCCCTGCCCAGTTTTGTATGTGTGCGCTGGTGATTTGAACTCAGGTCTTCATGCTTGTGCAGCAAATGCTCTTAGCCACTGAGCCATCTCCCCAGCCCCAAAAGGTATAGCCCTGGCTGGCATAAAACCCGTTATCCTCCTGCCTCTGCCTCTTCAGCGTATCCTACCAGTGCACACCACCACAAGTGGCTGCAGTCTAAGTTCCATTATTGTTCTTTGTTGATTTTTATCTTTTCCATGTTTTTAAAATAGAAAGAAGAAAAATATTCGAAGGCCAGGTGATCAGCCATGCCTGGGGTCTCAGCACTTGGGAAGCAGAGACAAGAAGGAGGCCAGATGACAAGTCCTTGTCTCAAATAAGACACAAAAGAAAATAAGATTTGATAATCCTGTTTTTACAAGGAATTATTTGCCATCTGTGAACAAACTGTAAGCTTTTGCTTGGGCAATAGATTCTCTCAGATGTGTGAGGAGACCCTCACTGAGTGTACAGCCACACACAGGGCTTGTTCCAGTCCACTCTCTAGTTCAGAGCTTAGGATCAGTTTTAAAAGCTGTGGGTGCATGTGTGTTCACACATGGGAGACATGTGCATACAGATGTGGACAGTGACCAAGAGACACTGTAGAGTGAGGGACAGACAGGACACCCAGGTTCCCTTAGCTCCTCTGGCTCCCTGACTGTGTGATTTTGTAATTTATCAGCTTGGTGACCTATTATGCTGCTGAATTCCATCCCTAGTGAAAGTCGGCAGCAAACACAGAGAAAGGCCTGTGACAGCCTTACCTCTGAGGTGAGAGTCCGGAGGGTCTTGTTGGAAGACATCCAGCCGCTGCAAGGACTGATCTGAGAGAAGAGAAGACCACTTTGATTAAGGAGGCACAGCCACAGGTAATGCGTGTGGGACGGAGGTGGGAGGGAGGGAGGGAGGGAGAGGGGAGAGAGAGAGAGAGAGAGAGAGAGAGAGAGAGAGAGAGTGAGTTGTTATCTCTGGGCTCACCTTGAGGCAGCTCAGGAAGGAGAACAACTGTGCATAGGTCACATCTTTATTCAGCTGACCTGGAAACAGAGGTGTGGTGTCATATGGAGTTGGGAAGCAATGTTCAGAGGCCCTTGTAGGCCACCCCACCTCCCTTGTAGCGAGTGGCACTTACCCTTACTTGTCATGCAGTATTCCTCTGAGGAATGCCCACACTTTACTTCTTTCTGAGTCTGAGTTGGAGAGGAGCCCTAAGGAGTTTAAGCCCATGTACCTCTTAGCCTTGGGGAGGACAGGACTGGAGGACTGGCCTCATCTAGACTTCAGGGAAAGGGAGATGGGTCTCCTGCAGCTCTTAATAGACCAGAGAACCTTGAACAAAGCATGCTGCTGGGCAGTGCCTTTTTCTTGGCAATGCCATGAAATTTCAAATTCCCACAGGGGCTCCAGGAGCCCCACTCAAGGTCGGGGCTTGAATCCTTCTTAAGTTTGTAAAACATTTAGGTCTGACCCAGTTGTCCCATTCTGAGGATCTGGCAGGGCATTGAGTGTCCAAAGTTCTGACCATGAGGCCTGCAGCTTGGTGAACTGAAGGCTTCCAAATATTCTCAGATGGCTCAGATATGCTTGGGAGGGATAGAAAGGCCAGTGGGTTTTGTCTCCCTTCATGGCCATGGGTTAAGAGTTGCTCAGTGGATATATTATTTGAACCCTAATTAGGAAATACACCTTATACTTTAGGAGATGGTGTTGTAATAGGGCACCTTTTTGACCATAGCTATGCCATGTTAAGGTTTAGGCTGACTCTAGTCTCTGAAATTATCAGGCAGTTGGTCCAGGGTATGGGAACACATGTCAATTGGACCCCGGTTGTCTTGGAAACAGGTCAGAGTGTTCCAGAGTACACCTGCTAACTGAAGATTTATGGCTTCTGTAGGTTAGCTTGGTCTGCTTCTGCAAAATAGTAATTGTTCCTTAATAGAATAGAAATTGTTAAGGGAACTCTCCACCTGTAAGCTTGGGAAGTTAAACTTTTCACCCCTGGTTATGGTTTTCCTGTATAAAAGCTTACCCTAGAGCTGGCTTGGGGCTACACACTTGGGTTTCAACATCCTTGTGTAGTAGCCCTGGCCAGTAATGACTTTCATTAGGCAAAACTTTGTCTGAGTGGTCTTCTCTGGTGGAGCACCCCACAACAGTGTTTAGCTGGAGGAAGTGGGTTTGTGGGGAGGGTATATGGGGTTTCCAGTTCCCCACTTCTCTGTTTCCTGTCAGCCATGAGATAAAGACTCCTGCCCCCCACCCCCACCATGAAGTTCTGCTGAAGCACACAGGGACTGAATACTCTGAACTATGAGGCAAAATAGACAATTCTTCCCCTAGATTGTTTGTCTCAGGTATTAGGTCACAGCAGTGAAGAGTCTAACATGTTGGGGTCTACCCAGAGCCTTTTGGAACATTAACTATAGACACTCAACCCAGAGACTGGTGTCTTCTCTCTCCAGGGTCGCACCAGCTACCTCTTTGCAGCTTATCCACCCCCAGATAGCCACTTTTCATACTGTGACTGACACATAAAATCCAGCCCTTCCTAATCTCCATGGTGAATGACTGATACTGTATCTATTAACACTTCTCACACTCAAAAAAAAAAAAAAATCAAAGTGGATAATAGGGCCTATCTTAGAATGAAAAGAAAGATTGAAGGTGATGGAACAGAGTTTTATTTTTCACTTAAAGCTCAGATCAGTTAAACTGAAGGGTAGATTCAATTTGCTTGTCATAGAGGAAAACTATGGTATCAGAATGTGTGAGGAAATCTCAGGCTTGAAAGGCCACAGGCTGTTAATGTCATTAGAGTCACAGTGACCACCAGGTCTCTCTCATCAGCATCTTCACATTTTAGATGAGTCCCAGGCCCCTGGCTTCTGGCTTCACTTTCATGGACTTGACATGGACCCTGACTCTCATCTTTCCCCCAAGTTCCTGCTTCTATCCACTGAGGTGTCTTTCTAGTTTTTTCTTTTTTGGCTTTCTGCCAATTACCCTCATCTTTCTGTGTCCCCTCCTGTCTTAGCCCCACCCAGCTCAGCTGCAGTGACAGACACCTTCAACCTCCACTCCCCACCCTGGGTCCTCCATGTGTCCCAATGACTGGTGGCTTTTCTCTTTGAGGTGTGTAGCCTTCCCTTTTCTACCCTTGGTTCCTGGCTAGCCTTTGCCTCAGTCCTGCTGATATCCCATTCTTTGTTGGGCCTGGAGCCCAATAATAGAGCATAGGTAGCTTGGCGGGGGCTAATGTACCCTCACCTGTCTCCTCGTATTCTGCTTAGAGGTCTCTTCAAACTTCAAGAGGCGACACCTCATACCTGGTGTTCAGTAACAATTCTGTACCCTCCCCTCCTCCTCTTTCAAGCCTAGATTGCTTTGCTATCCAGAAGAACTGGACACTGGGAAGATCCCTGATGGACACATGTTGGGGGCTAAGCCCAGTCGCAGCCTTGCTCAGTTCTGCTTTGCTCTCCCCTTCTGTCCTACTGCTGAGGTCACAGCATGCCTCAGGATGAGATCCTTTTTCAAGATCCCGTGCGCGTAACCCAGTCTTGCTCTCTTTCCCTCCTATCATCACCTGGTCTTCTGGCACTGGCCCCAGATGAACCTACTAAACAGAGCAGTAGGTCTACTGATCGGGATGAAGGCATGTTAGTGTAGAAGGAAACTGAGAAACGTTAATAAGTGCTTTCCTGCTCTCCTCCTTCTTAGAAGGGAGGGCGCCTCTGAGCTGCTGAAGTGGAGGAGTGTCTGGGAGTGCTTATAGTGAGCTAATGGCCTAAAGGAAAGGAAAATGTTTTTTTTTTTTTTTTCTCTTTGCTGGCTCTATCTTTTGATTATTTTTTTTAAAAGAATGGTAACTTGATTCCTATTGTTTTAATGTAAATTTTCCTCATCAAAGAACCCTATTATAAAGAGGCTTCTTATGTCTGTGACTCCCTGGTCAGAAAGTCAGTTTAGTTATGAAAGCTAATCAGCAGGGGATCTGTGGATGTAGTTCAGGGATAAAGCTAGAACATGTGAGAGTCTGCATTTGATTCTAGCATTGAAAAAAAAATGTTCTAGCCGTGGTGGTGCATGCCTGTAGTCCCAGCACTTGGGAGGCAGAAACAGGTGGATCTCTGTGAGTTCAAGGCTAGCCTGGTCTACATAGTGAGTTCCAGGCCAGGTGGGGTTCCAGGGAGACCCTGTTTAAAAAAAAATGAAAAAAATGTTCAAGGATAGACAAGGGGATTGTCCATAGTATTCAATAATTTCAGGAGCTGAAGAATTACCTGTGCTCAT